ACCGTGCAGGGGTGTCGGGTGCTGAGGCCCTGTACTCCGGTTCGTACGTACAGCGGGTTGTATAGGTCCTCCCTGCAGTTTTTGTTTGTGGGGTCGTTTGTGGGTTTCGTTCGTGGCATTGTCGTTCGTGGTTTATGGTCGGGGGTTCGGGTGGGTTCTGGCCAGGATCTAGAGAAATAACAATAGGTTAGTAAAAAATGAATGAATGCAACACAAAAAGAGCAGCATATGCTGCTCTTTTTGACCACGAGAATAAGAAATGAAACAATAAAAATACCTTGTAGTACCCCACACTGCTGCAGTGCGGGTGTGGGGTACTGGGACCGTACTCTGGCTCATGCACGGCAGTTTGTGTGGGTCCCCCAGGACCCTGTTGCTCGGGTGTCGATAGGCGGGGTCAGGGGGGGGGGGTTGCGTCAGTATTCGTTGGTGCGAGAAGTAAAGACCTATAATAGAAAGTTATAAATTAGTTAAGAATTAAGCACCACGAAAAAAGGCAGCTTTCGCTGCTCTTTTTGCGTGGTTGTAGCTACGGGGGCAGTGACTCACCTTAAATAGGACCACACACCCCGCCATGGCGGGTGTGTGGTTCCTGGGGCCCTCATATGGGTGCGTTGCGTCCTTGTTTTGGCGCGTTACCATACGTTGCGTCCTCATTTGGTGCGTTGCCATGTGTCACGTCGTTGGCGTGTGCGTGTGTCGCGTTGTGGTCGTGGTGCATATGTCACGTCCTTGGTGCCATGCTGTATGTTGTGTGGTGGGCACATTGCCATATGTTGCGTCATTTGGGGGTCTCATTCGGGCGTTGCCGTTTGGGCCCCTGTTTCACGGGTGTTCGTCATGCCTTAGACCCCACAAGCACAGCACACATCAATAGCAAGCATGTAGATATGGAATAGATAATATATAATAAATATTTATCCAATAAAATGCGAAGAAGAAGAAAATAATGAGTCAGAGCTCAATAAGGCATGAGATGGCTAATTGCAGAGTGGATTGGGCCACTTCTATGCATCAGAATTGGCCCAAATTTAAATATAGCAACGCCATATATACACTCTACATGGGCGATTGATTATCTCGGACGATTCTCGCATTTTTCAAATTTTCACACCTTCAATTCCCTATTTAGGGAATTGAAGGTGTGAAAATTTGAAAAATGTGAGAATCGTCTGAGATAATCAATCGCCCATGTAGAGTGTATATATGGCGTTGCTATATTTAAATTTGGGCCAATTCTGATGCATAGAAGTGGCCCAATCCACTCTGCAATTAGCCATCTCATGCCTTATTGAGCTCTGACTCATTATTTTCTTCTTCTTCGCATTTTATTGGATAAATATTTATTATATATTATCTATTCCATATCTACATGCTTGCTATTGATGTGTGCTGTGCTTGCGGCGCCAGCACTTGGGCGCTTCCTAAGTATCGGCAATTGCCGGCATTGAATTTCACAACTACGCAGCCACACTCAGCAACAGAAAGGCGACCGCACAACCACGACACAACAGCAACAGCAACAGCAGCAACAGCAGCAACAGCAGCAACAGCAGCAGCAGCAGCAGCAGCAGCAGCCCTAGCGCACGACCACGACCACATGACCACACACCCGCTGAGGCGGGTGCGTGGTCATAAGGTAAGTTTGTCTCAATACATAGAATAGCGCAAAAAGAGTAGTGCAAGCTACTCTTTTTGCGCTGCTGTGAATTTTGATACTAACATAGCCTTTATTATTCCAGACCAAAACCAAAACAAATGACAGGCCGCCCAATGAGTGGCCGGCCCCAGCGGAAATACACAAAACCACGCGAAATGAAACGAAACGAAGCCAAACGAAACCATGCCCAACCCCCACGCCAAACCCAACGAAACCACGCCACACCCAACGAAACAACGCCAAGCAGAAATGCCAGAGGTGGCCACGCGAACCACACACCCGCTGCGGCGGTGTGTGGTTCTATACAATGTAAGTAATCTTGTGCACCCCCAGTGGCGCAAAAAGAGCAGCAAATGCTGCTCTTTTTGCGCTGGTTTTAATTTTTTAACTGATAATGTTTTATTCTAGGTATCACCACAAATGAAGACCCGTGGAGCGAGCCCCCCCCCGAGATCAAACTCCCGCAAAGCAAGACCCGTGAGCGACAATGCGCCAAACGAAGACACGAACCACACACCCGCGGTAGCGGGTGTGTGGTTCTATACAAGATAAGTAATTAGTGCACCCCCCCCCCTCACCAACGCAAAAAGAGCAGCCCTTGCTGCTCTTTTTGTGTTTGTTTTAATTTTTAACTAAGAAATTCTCTATTATTCTAGGCTGTCGCCTGAACCACCTGCCAAACCAACCCCCTCTCCGCGAAATGACAACGCAACGCGCCAAGGAACACCCCCCAGACGAAACCCGGGACCGAGAACACACAACAGGGTCACAGGGACCCCAGACGAACCACACCTGCTGAAGCGGGTGTGTGATAATTCTAAGGTAAATACAACCATGCAAAAGGAGCAGTGTACGCTGCTCCTTTTGTGTGGCTCTTCTTTTTTTCTTTTACTAACATATTTACTATTCTAGATGGTCAAGCAAAATGACAACCTGCCAAACGAACCTGCCCAACACCCCCCTGGGAATGATGATGTGACCCACCAAAACAACATGTGCCAAACAAAACACGCCAACGACGACTGGCCAGACCAAACCCAAGAGAGTACCACACACCTGCTTCAGCGGGTGTGTGGTAATTTTAAGGTGAGTACAACTGCGCAAGAGGAGCAGTGTACGCTGCTCCTTTTGCATGGCTTCTCTTGTTTTTTTTTTTTTTTTACTAATGTATTATTTATTATTTTATTTTGTCATCTGGACCCAACACCTGCGACCCCGCCAAACGAACACAAGAGAACAATGACCCACCCGCCAAAGGACCCAACACCCACGACCCCGCCGAATGAACACGAGAGAATGATGACCCACCCGCCAAACGAATCCCGCAAACAGCAACAAGTCGAAACCACGACGCAAGCCCCGGACGAACCCCACACCCACTTCGGCGGGTGTGTGGTAATTTTAAGGTGAGTACAACCGCGCAAGAGGAGCAGCATACACTGCTCCTTTTGCATGGCTTTCCTTGTTTTTATTTTTTTTTATTTTTTACTAACGTATTATTTATTATTTTATTTTGTCATTTGGACCCAACACCCGCGACCCTGCCGAACAAACACGGGAGAACGACGACCCACCCGCCAAACGAATCCCGCGAACGGCAATGAGTCGAAACCACAACGCAAGCCCCAGACGAACCCCACACCTGCCGAAGCGGGTGTGGTAATCTTTAAGGTAAGTATATATATACATGTCCGACTATGCAAAAGGAGCAGCAGGGGCTGCTCCTTTTGCCTGGTTTTTCTTTCTTTAACTAACTTATTATTTATTATCATAGGTATTCTTCTGAACCCGCATCCCCCAACCGAAGCCACGACCCCGCCGAGTGAAAACACGCGACCATGGGTGAGGGGGAACCCCAACGGTGAAGCGCGAAATAACATCCCTGGTACCACACACCCACCCAAGCAGGTGTGTGGTGCTACTAGATAGTTGTTATTTCAATTTTTTTGTTCTTTGATTTCTATGGATAGTACCACACACCCGCTAGAGTGGGTGTGTGGTGCTACTAAGTAGTCTTTTTTTTTTTGATTTCTACAGAGTACCACACACCAGAGTGGGTGTGTGGTATAATTTTAAATAAATAAATAAATAATAAGAATGAAACACGGGACTCCTGAATGAAACCCAGCTGACCCGGGGTAGCATAAGTGTAATATAGTGATAATAAATAAATAATTATAAATGGAAGATATTATCCCCGATAAGCCCGTATGGCCTGCTGCAAGTCTGAGATTCTCTAAGTCCCAGTTTCGGCCAATTTTCGGCCATTTCGGCCAATTCTGGGCGAGGAGGTGAAATCATAAAAATGGCCATTTCGGCCAAAATAGTGATGGGACCTACTTAGGTACCATTATCTGCCCTG